CGCCGTTTTCACGCTGTACCTTTGAAGCGCGATTTCAGATAATACTCGTATATTGATTGCCCATCGGCAATCCACGGTAGACACCGTAAACTCACCGATACCCGAAAAAAAATTAACTGCCAACGCACCGGGCGGAAAAAGTTACTATACAGCGTTGCCATAAATGTGGGGAAAAAATGTACCCGTTATCGTTATAAAAAGACGTGGTCCACTATTTCGGTTTCACACTGGAAGTATGACATGAAATATCATATCAGTATAATAGCACCGTGTGATTCTGTTATCGGATATTCGAACTATTGTCTCCCCGAAACACCGTGTATTGTCGTTTTTAACAGCTGTATTTTGAGTTTTGTTTTACGAGCCCACACTTTGGTTATCCACGCTCAAACGATGCGCAATTCACGGTCGCACCCTCCTCCGTTTAACCGGTTTTCGGGTTATTTTTCTTTCGCTGTGCTCCGAACGGTCCGCGAAATACTCGCGCGTGCAACACAAAAATATTACGCGTACCTATTACCCACCCGTGTACTATAATATGATTTCTGTGCGCGCGCAGGGCAAGTACACGTCGAAAAGCGACGTCTGGTCGTTCGCCGTCACCCTCTGGGAAATACTGATGTTCTGCAGCCATCAGCCGCTGGCGGAGCTGACCAACGAACAGGTAGTCGAAAACGCCAACCACATGTACCTGTCCAACGGTAAGCACAGGTACGCGGAACCGCCGCCCAGTTGTCCGCGCGAAATGTACGAGATCATGGCCGAGTGCTGGAAACGCGCGGACGCGGACCGGCCAAAGTTTTCCGAAATACACTTGTTCCTGCAACGCAAAAACCTCGGCTACGTCCCGGTAATAATGTGATTATAGTTAAAAAAAAAAAAAACAAAAAACTCGAGACCGTAACAATGTAAGAACACTATAANCCGAAATACACTTGTTCCTGCAACGCAAAAACCTCGGCTACGTCCCGGTAATAATGTGATTATAGTTAAAAAAAAAAAAAAAAAAAAAATGTTTAAAAAAATCGCTTAAAAAGTCATGCAGAGGCGCGGCTGTACACGCGATACGCGTACCTTCGAAAACGATCGTTCCTTCCAGCGTCGCGACGGTTCTCGTCATTTATTTATTCTCTCGATTTTTCTGTCCGTCTACGCGTCTATATCCGGCCGGTCTGTCCTATATGCCCGTCAATCTGTCCGGACATTTCGTCCGTAGAAAAAAAAAAAAAACAAAAAACTCGAGACCGTAACAATGTAAGAACACTATAATATACTCGTACGACTCGCGATAGCGGTGTAGGTGTATTAGGTGTATTATAGGGGTCGGCGGGGACGTGTTCAAACACCGAAATATTATAAACGCGTATCGTTTCGCATCTCGACTTATAAACTTTAGTTTATTGTTATTTCCGAAAACACGTTTGTTGTGTTATTATAATAGTGTACACTCGGCGTGTGTTTAATTTCTCGTTTAAATATTTACACTCGTCTTTCACCACCACCACCACCACCACCAACCCTCTTGTATATGATTACGAGTTTGTTTATTTTTCAAAATTTTTTCCAAAAATACTTAAATACTCGAGCTATATTTAACGCGCAATGTCTTCCAAAAAAAAAAAAAAAAAACTAAATCACTTTTTTCTGTACTAATATGTCGACACAATATATTATAAGACGTATTAAATACTGTTTAAAAAAAAAAAAAAATCATCTTCTCATAGTTTGTAAGTTTGTACATAAGATGTTTTGGGTCGTTAATTTTTTATTTTTTATTTTTATTATTTTTGTAAATAATTTACACGGTTTTTACGAGATCGTCGAGCGTTATAGATTCTAATTAAAATTAAAAAAATATATATTTTAACGATCAACGAATAAAAAACTTCACACCGTTCGCGTTTATAAAAACACGACTATTCATTTTTTTTATGTATGCATATATATATATTTTAGGTCTCAATTATAAATCATTTTTTTTTTTTTTTTTTTAATATATATATTATATATTATGCGATTCTTTATTCTATATAATTATTTACTATATACTCGATGTATAACATTATAATATAGTGATGACAAAAAAAAAAGTGGATAGGCACGCGGACAAATAATATTTTCGTCCGCCAACTCGTCCCGATCCACTGGATTTTTATTGATAATATATATAATTTTATTATTACTATTAAAAAAAAAAAAACAAAAAAAAAAAAAATATAATATTATTTAAATAATAATAATAACTCACTCCGAAGTCTTTCCAAAATATAGTAGTCGAAACGAATATTAATATGACCGTCGCTACGACGAGTTCAGTCCGGGCCACGCGACGATAGTGATGCGATCACCCGCGGAGACAACGTCTCGGACGACCCGACGACTATTGTCCTAATCAATTGTCCGCTAATCCGAGACGGCAGTTTTAGTTCGAATTTCGCGCGCGATCGCTGCAGGTTATAGTCGTATCATTACAGCGTCAACATCTAAAGGCTGCGCCTTGACGTTACGGCCGTGTATCGTTTGCCACGCTCCTCGGCTGTGAATTTCGCGCGACATCCACGAGCCGCTAGAGATGTTGGAAATACGAAGTTCTTGGTCGTCCCCAATCGATCTTTTAAACCGAGATCTCAATTTCGAAAACGTGACTAAATAGTCGAATAACAAAAAAAAAAAAAACGAATGACCAGAACACGAATCCACGATAATTATACGTGCAATCACAATTGCACTCAATACGTAACAATAAGACTAATTGTAAACACAAGTCTTGTAAGTCTGTTGGCAAATTTTTAATAACCTCAAATAAATATGACCTGTAGCGTCGAATGATTACAATTCTAACTAATTCCGCCTCGACAAGCGGACCTCGTTTTAACAGCTGGTTTACTATCTTCAAATGATATAATACGGTAGTCCGTATGCTGCGTAATTATACCTAGTAGAGGACAGTGCATTTCGGCAATAGAAACGCATTACCGTTCGGGACAGTGTAATTGTTGCTTTCGCGATAGTTCAATAGTGACCGTATCGGCAATAGTATTTCACGGGCAAGTTTCGCGGTCACGCATTTCACTATCGTCGCGCGTACTCGGGCTCGAGCATATATTATTATTACTGTGTTCGGTAAAATAAAATAAATTATAATACGTTTTAAGGGGGTTCGCCAATATACAATTATTTTGTTTTCGAAAATAAAATATTGCATTTGTTTATTTTTTAATATTATTACTATTATTAGATTCGCCGTTTCGGCTCTATACGAATCGAACCGACCTTTTTTTTTTTTCATTTTTTTTTCTCTCTCTCTTTCTCTCGATAATATTGTAAATACCATTTTTTTTCATTTTTTTTTTTTTTTTTTCAATTATTTCTCCACAATATATGGTCTTGTATAATAATATTAAAAACGATATTTTGTATTTACCGTACTATTTATTTCGATTAATAATAACATTAACATTATTATGATTTCCACTATACTGTATCGAAAGCTCAAAAGTGGATTATATAATAGCTGGGCTCGTGTAAAAACGCAATAAATCGTCTATATCATATTAATAAACGAAAATTGCGCGTTCTAATAACGAACGCGCGAAATTTTTAATATTGATAAAGTGGTGCCGAATACATAATGTTATTTGTTTTTGATTCGGGCGAAAAAACCCGTTCCTTCCCTTTATTATAATTTATCACACCACTATTATACACAATATTGTGTTTTATAAATTAAAAATTTTCTTTTTCTTCTGTTTCTCGTAAGACGTGTGATACGTGTACTTGAATAATAAATTATATTTATTTTTTTTGAATTTGCATATCATAAATTATCATACAATATGTATTATTACCTAATAGTGTGTACATATAGTAAATAATGTATATTATGGTTAAACATACAGGCACGTCAGCGGGATAATACAAAATTGCACTATCACAGCGCATTTTTCTCCAGTGTCAGTAATTAGGAATTCACGTTGAAAGGGGATGTATATTTTTTTTTAGCCAAACTGTTAAATAGATCTATGCATTAGAGGTTGTTTTAAAAAAAAATTCTCCTAAAAACAGACCATTTTTGCCGCCAACGTTAGCAAAAATACTACAATATTCACAAACATCTCCAGATTCCTCTTCTGATTAAACCGACCAATCGAACTCCAAAAGCATTTGGAGGGGATATTCATCTTCTTCGTTCCCCGTTAATTACTCCCCTGTCGTTGGATGCTACATACTGCTCAAGCTGTCGAATGGTTGTACAATAACGTTGGAAAAATCGATCGTTGAATCGTTTATTATTATTATTATTATTTTTTTTTTTTTGTTCTATGATATTCGCCAGTGGCGGCCATGTTTTTACGCGCATTATTATCTATAATATCTTGCCGACAAGCCTGTATTTTTAACCGCTCTAGGTATCTACGTGTTTGTCGGATCAAAAACGCCTATGGGCAGTACCTATATACGTTATACAAATATAGTGTTATATTCCTCTTTTCGCAATTTTTCATTTATATATATATATGTAAATTTTGAAATCATTTTTTGTTTCTGTATAATGTTTAGACCACGAACATATAACAATATCGATAAACCGACACTTTTTGATAAAAAAAAAAAAAAAAAAAAAGAAGAGTGACACGATAAAGTTATCTGTAAATAATATAATATAATATTAATGATAAAAGTAATATAATATAATAAATACTATACCATAATATTATAATAATACATGGAGGGTATATAATCAATTATTTGATACCCACACGTTGCTAAGAGACAATCAATCTCTAACACTTTTTTGATTTATATATACATATAATCTATATGTATGTATATATATATATAATTTTTTGTATTAAACAATTGATAAAAAAAAAAAAAAAACTATTATATATATATATATATATAAAATTATTATAAAATCAATCTTAGAATATTATTACTATTNNTTTAGACCACGAACATATAACAATATCGATAAACCGACACTTTTTGATAAAAAAAAAAAAAAAAACTATTATATATATATATATATATAAAATTATTATAAAATCAATCTTAGAATATTATTACTATTATAATTATTATTACTATTAATAGCACACATGTTTAAAAATACTAAAAAAATAATAATAATATTATGTTTGATCTCAAAACAAACATGATGACATTATGTCTACCTGTATTTCCTCAGAGTGCAGTACCTACACACAAACGATGATATTAAATATCAATCAGATCTTATAACAATAATATCGTTTCCTATACCATAAAATATTTTAATAGGACGAATACAAATAATTTGCAAAGTAACATATAATAGTCGCATAGTAATAAAAAAAAAAAAAAATCATATTACGATTCAAATAATATATCAACTAATTTGTTGAACATCACTAATTAATTTTAATCATAGTCTTTTTGTAATAAAAAAAAAAACATAATAAAAAAATAGTACTTCTATTAATTATTATGTTTAAGTATATTATTATAATATAAACTTGAAATTTAAATGTATTTATAAAATATATTGTATTTTCATTGACTATATTAATGTAATTATACCTATATAATATTAAAATAAAATTGTTGTTTAATTATTGTCTTTAGAAAAAATAAATCAGTATTATTATTATTATTAAACATTCCTCTGTCTTTGAAAAAAAAAAAAAAATGAAAAAAAAAATGTTATTTAATAAATATTATGTATCATATACCTTTGTGAATTTTTCATTATTTTTTTTTTTTTTTTTGCTACCTGCATTTAACTCGTTTACATTCCTACTGTACATTTTTGTGCGAATATAATATAATATAATGGTAAAACTTTGCTGTACTCGTGAGCTGTAGTTCAACCAACCAAGTGGTTTCCAAAAAGAAAAAAAAAAAAAGGTACGTAATATCATTTGTTTTTAAAGTAACTCCAGAGTTCCCTTCCGCAAGGTCTACTTCCGTAGACGTTACTCGCTGTAATCACTTACGCAAGCGCGTGTGGGCCTGATAAGCCAGCTAATTTGAAGTTATTTTTTTTTCGATTTTGATTTAATACTTTGATGATCGATTAATAAACGATTGCGGGCTGAAGTTGGCCCCTGGGCCGTAGTCGGTCACCACCGGTATGGGGCAGAGGCCTTTAATTTATAATACACGTTATCGGTTTTTCTCGCACCTATCGCCCTAAATCACCCGTTTTTAGCTTAGTGTTGTATTCAGAAAGTACTTACGGATGTTTATAATTTATGTTTTTAAAATAGGTCCCAATATCCCATCTATTTCCGATTATATCATTTTCCGATGTAAAAAAATGACCCAGTACGTGCCTAGTCTAACGGAACCTTATATCACCTGCAGTGATTATAATGACTGCCTATTTATCGTCAATGACAACACTAAATTATTTGTTAATTTCTAATCATAACGAACATTTCATACTACAATATACTTTTTAACATACTGCCCGATAGTAGAAAATATCTTCGAAGCCCGTGATTTTTAAAAAACGTCTAAAATAAGTTTTACTAAAAACATTAATTTTATTTATTCTTCTGCTGGGTTTTGGCCTTTAAGGACCACTACTAGTACAAAGTCCCGCCATTCTCGCTATTCTATAGATCCTCTTCAATGGATTTCCGGGTTCACTATCTCAATGGTCCATCTAAACACAGTCTTACCACTACCATCTCCTCCCTAAAATCCTAAATCGCCTGATTTACAATAGATTCATGTTTACGCCACGGACCGCGAACATCAGTCTTATTTTAGTTATGTCTTTTTATAAAAATTTATCGGCCAGCCTTTGGAAAACTGTCTTTGAAGTCAGTACAATGCAATCATTATGATGGACATTTTTGAAATATTTTATGAACGTATTTTTCACCACAAATTTTTACCTAAACTACACAAAAGTCGTATATTTTATAGTTGCGTATGCAGTACCAGGATGGTAATATTGCGCTGTGCGATTTTAAAAAATTTGTTTGATTTTAAAGCGAAAACAAAACAATTCGATTACAAAACAGATATTATATAATGTGAGTACAGCAATTTAAAATACAGAACAATAAAAAATTACAACGTTTTCCAGAGACGACTGTGAAGAATACGAATAGGGGTAAGTAAACGTATACCTGTATAATATACGTAATAATATTATTATTCTATCGTCATCATTATGTAGCGTGACCGTCGAAAAATACCGTATTATGATACTGCACGTAAGTACCGAATAATAGTATTGTTACCTCGTCGAGGGGAAATAAAACGTAAAAAACTCTTCGAATTCATTGCGACAAAAAGAAACTCGTCTCGCTCAACTCGTTCACACTAATAACATTACATAAGCTCTTTAGTGGACGCCCAAATACATACATTATAAAAAAAAAAAAAAAAAACGAGATATTTTTTCTGTTCTCTTCGGACGGAAAACTGCACTTACAATATTGTTATTATTATTATATAATGATGACGAAAAATTATTATGATATAATATTTTTATTGCCGGAAAACTTTGACCGAGAAAATTCGTTCTCAACGTTCTCTATCGTAATTTCGATCAGTCTTATGTGAACCGACTATATGGCCGACACGGTGATATGATAGTTACTAACACGATAGTTAGTGTCAAAACTGTCACGGATACCGGGCCCGCACGGTAATATGGCACAGTGATAGAAGCGTGAACTTCGGTATAGGGACGTTAGTGAAAGTGCGACACGACAGGAAAAATAGAACAATAGTGTAATAATATGTGTCACTCTGAGATGGTCAGGGTTACGGTTTTTAGATACAATAAATGCACCTTGTGTTCAGTTCTAGAACGTATCGAGTGTCATTTATTGCGATACTAAAATCAATGCATCCAGGTAGTATCTAGTCGATACATAAGTATCTGTGGTAACTTGTATCTAGACGAATGTAAATCAATTTATCAATTTAAATAAAAATCGTGAAAAAACGTCGGGAAATGTACGAAATGTATTGTTTAAAATTTTGTTTTGGTTCAAATAGAAATATTTGTAGATACCAATTTTCGAGCTATTTGTAAACATTTTTATTTCGCGAGTTTTTTACGTAAATTTTAATCAGTAGGTACTCTGTGGATAAAATTGCGAAACCAATAGAAATGCTTAAAAGTTTAACAGGAGGTTCATTATAAGAAAAATAATTTTAATATCAAACTTTGACGAAAATCGCGAGTATTACGGCCTTTAAAAACACGTTTAACCGAAATCCGCTCATAATCGTTTTTCTTTAGCAACGATTAATCGTTGCGTACAGATGTACATTAAATTTCCAACATTTCACCTACAACAGTGGTCGCGAAACTGCGAAATATGTCCGTTTTTTTTTTTTTTAACTTGATCCTGATTCCCGAGTATTACGAAAAAATATTACGTCTGTACGGAAAATTCTGCTGTCGAAGTTTTAAAAACATTATCCGTAAGTATATTTCGGTGTATGTACGGATGATGTATGAATTTATGTGATGCAGTATGTGTCTAAATAATAAGGTAAACGAACACAGGTGGTATTTCAGTAGTGGTTTTTTATTTTTTTTTTTTTTAAAAAAAAATAGGATTAATTATATATGAAAAAAAAACAAAATAACGTGAAAAACTGTGAAATAGACAAGGGAAATCGCCCGGTTAAAAAAAACAAAACAAAACAAAAACTCGACCCATTTCGGGTAAACTGCTGGATGTGAATCGTCGTTTTGGATTTTGTTTTTTTTTTTTTTTGTGTACCTAACTCAGTTTAAAACAATTTTAGAAACCTGACATTTCTACCGAACACGCATATTGGACCTATCTAGGCGCGGTACGGTTTTCAAATCAGTCCGGTGACTTTTCAGCGATACGAGTATTGAAATCCATTAGAAATAATTCTATTTCTATTTTTTTTTATTTTTAGTTTTTTACCTATTCGCGTAAGTGCACGGAAATCGAACACGCAGTACGACACGAGTACGTTTTTCTCGAACGGCTCGGTGCGATGACCGGACAGCTGTCGGATTTTCCGCGAGGTTTTCACGGTCAAACTCCCCGTGTTATAATATCACAATACTGTTATCGCCCCGTGAGCTGAGAACCGCGTAACCCAATTGCACTTCGAACTGTTGGACACAATAATATTATTACCGCGCCTACTTATGTTAACGGCATTCACGCTGTAAACCGGCGCCGCCGGGAAAATTTACGAAATGTATTATTTTCGAATCGTAAATATTACGGCCTTTCAGAACAAGTATAACGGAACTCCGTTCAGAGTCGTTACTCGTTAGCGAATATTAACCGTTGCGTACAGATACACTGAATTCCTATTTACATCCCGCATTCCCGACTTATCATCTACAATAGCGGCCCACCCCGTCCCGCGAAGTACGAGGTCTGGCTATTAAATAACGGGGCTGCTTATGAAAAATAGTTTTATTTTAAAAATTATTCCACAACCAAATTTTCCCCTTCAATCCGCTAATCGTTGACAGTTATATTGGCGCTATATCATTGCTGCGCAACGCCAATGTCAAATAACAATGCAGTCAAATAACAAAAGCTTTCATAATGCTTTTCGCAATGCTTTTTTATGACGGCACGCGATCGCGTCATGTGTGTCGGCTGTACGGCGGCAGTCGCGTTGGCGCTGTGCGACGCTATAAGGTGACACGACATGGGCGTCTGATGCCGATACCGAATGGTACACACGGGCCGGCGCACGGTGCTACGCGACGACAACAATGCTGTACGAGGTGCGGCTATTAAACAACGAGACTGGTTACGAAAAAGTGGTTTTATTATAAAAGTTATTCTACATTCAAACGCTCCCCTTCAATATACTGCCCTCCCCTCGCCACGCACCGTTGCGTTCGTTCCTTCCGTTGCTCGAGGCAGTGCCGGAAGTCTGTTTTCGTAAGACCATTCAGGATTTTCGTTTCACCTCTTCCATCGAATCAAACCGGATTCCTTTTAAGGCAGACTTTATCTTCGGAAACAAGTAAAAATCGCAGGGTGCCAGTTTGGGTGAGTAAGACGCGTGTTCGAGTACTGGAGTGCCTTAAGCGGCCAAATAACGCTTCACAGACAGCGCGTTATGGGCAGGTGCGTTATCCTGGTGCAAGATCCACGACTTGTTTTTCCACAATATCGACCGTTTCTTACGAACTGATTCGCGCAATGTTGCCAAAACTGTCGAATAGTAATGTTGGTTCACAGTTTGACCCTCTGGAACCCATTCAGTCATCACGATGCCGTTGATATCGAAGAAAACGATCAGCATGGTTTTGAATTTGGATTACGACTGAATTGGATTCCGGTGCACTCTCGACCATCAGAAAATAATTTATGTCACTCAAAAACACGCGCCCGAGACAGGAAACCCTCACTATAGGCCTCTTTAACAACTCATAGCACTCAGTTGGAGTTTTTTTTTAATTGAACGAGAAAATTTTACGTTTATCCGTTGCTCATATGTTTTTCGTCACACGTGGTTTTCGGTACGAGAAAAAACCATGTTCGTTTCTAAACGCTACAGAAAAAATACTAATGCACCAACAAAAACCCAATGGCATAGTAGACACTTCCAGCTAACCAGCGCTGTATTCGGTTTTCCCCGAACCTTTTTGGGACGCTCTGTGCGCAGTCTCGTTATTTAATAGCCAAACCTCGTATGTTCGTATTTTTTTTTGGTTTTAGTTTTTTAAAAAAATACGCATAAATCAGAGAAATCATAGGGCAACGTATCGGAAATTATTACAAGGAAAAAAAAAACCCCTCGAATGTATCGAACAGAACAAAAGTAGTTCGGGGTATCGGACGTCGCACACCGTGCACACCACACCCCCTCCGGCTTTGACCGCGGGTTTAACGACGCGCGAGACTATCGTGCGGTTTTGAAAATTTCGTTTTACTGTCGATTTAACCGATACGACCTAAGCTGCGTACGGTTTGTTTTTTTTTTTCTCTCTCCGAGAAAAATTATTTATCATATTTTCCTGCGTTATACGCGCGTATTGTTCGTTACCTACGGCCGCAGAAAGCGGTTCGGGTTTGAATTCGATTAATAATAAATTACGGCGCGATGCTAAAAACGTACGCCCGCGCGGCGCGCCGACCGCGAAAACCGCGAGAACTGTATTATCGTGCGTCCCTCGCTCGTATTATTCGCCATCGTTTGTACAAATATCGCGGTTCGCTTATCCCGCGCAATCGTTCGCTAAATACTTAATAGTATCATCGCGAGCCCGACGTGCCGGTACCGGGAACACAGCGCCGTCCGGGTCCCGGGCACGCGTAGCGGCCGTAACGCGCGCGCGCCCGCGGCCCGTAACGGGTGCCGCGGTTCCGTTAATATTTCATACGGTTATTATTAGTTCGGTTCCGGCGTATTTTCGAGGTTTAGGCGCGCCGTTCGTTATTACGGTAATACGCGCGCGGGTTTTCATATTTCCCCGGCTCGACTCCGCACGGGAAACGAGAAAATACCCCTCGGAAAACTCCCGTCCGCGGGTCGAAATACGCGACGGGCGTTCGTCGCGCGGCCGATTTCCGTTTTAATTTTTAACACGGCCGTTTATTAGTTTGTCGATTATCCGTACAGTTTAGGTTTTCGCCGAATAGACGCGGCTGTGCGCAGTTAATGTGCGCGGGCTAACGATTGCGTTGGCCAAGTGTTTGCCCACCCGGAAGGCGTGAACTGGCATTGACTGGAAAAGCGCAAGCAGTCATCACGCCGGCGAAACGGTACACCGGTGTCGAATGTCCGGCAAACTTACCTCCGTCGTCGCGGCAAAAGCAAACCGCGGGCGTACCCGAGTAATCGATTAAAGTAAATAATGTACACGAATTCAATTGACGACTGTACGAGTATTCGATCTGGTGACCGCGCCGATTTATCCGATTTCGTTTTAAATGTTATTGTTATAAATACAAATTCCAAGCCAGAAGTTCGATCAGAATTTACAATCGCTTGCTGTTAGAAACAACCAACTCCTGCGGAATCGTTTCGCTGTCAAAAAGAGAACGAGAATGTCTCGTACTGATTGCAAATTAGCAAACTGGACCAGATTAGTATACTGTCGAAATTGGTTCGGGACCGAACCAGCGTGCTGCATTGTAAAAACACTAGGGACTCGGAGACCCAGCTCGAATGCAGCCGAATGGCGTATGAAATAATTATTCCTACCGTGTGGCCGTGGTAAAATGTGTGCAGTTGTCCGGGACGTTTAAAATCCTTGTGGCGCGCTCTATTTGTGGAGTTGATGAACGATAAAACAACATGTGCAAAAATGATGTACGAAAAGCATACTTTTCGTCAATTGGACACTTGGTGGTTAGTTTTAAAGATTCTACGAGAAGAAATATATAATATTTAAATGAACGCATCTAGTTAATTTTAATTTTACGTTTTGATGCATGATTACGTCAATAAAGCGTGTTACCAGGCAACTGCATCCGGACATTAATAATTCGTATAATACATATGATATATTATGTAACTTGTATCTGTATTCGTAACTGAAATTTGATGCTCTTCCCGTTGTCCCGCCACGCTGAAATTCTGTTCACAGCTTAAGTTCTGATGACAATACAATTTGACAAAAAAAAAAAAAAAAAAGCAAAACCGTTAGTTTTTTTTATATATATTTAAATATTTTTTAAACCGTTGTTTGATGAGTGCTGGGTTCGTAATGATGGAAAGGCCGACAGCGTACGGTTATCGTTTTATAAAAAAAAAAAAAAAACAACAATTTTTGGTTTGGGACACGACTTGTGTGTATAATTATTTGTATGCGGTACGTGTGTAAATCGCACGCCGTTAACACACCACGGATGATTTAATTACGTATAATATTACGATGAAACACAAAATGCCACCAAAAAGGAAGACGCGTGAATAAAGCAGATATCCGTCAATTAGGTGGACATTTCCCACGTCTATTTTTCTATCATAGAAATATTCTTTGTGAAACATTAAATAAACGAATTTACTGCTTAGAAAAAAAAAACAAAGACGAAATTTGAGCATAGAAATGGTAGAGAATGTTGAAATCTGAAGCCCATCCTTGATACCAAGGCAGCGCGCCGTGCATTTATACAATTTCATACTCCCGACTTCGTTCGGAGGTCAGTAGTAGGGTTGTTTAAAGCCAACGAAAATCACCTCCTTCCAGCAACAACAAATTTCGTTCGTCCATAGTTGTTTATCCGAAATAATTTGTTTTAATAAACGTTTTCTATCGTTATCTGTAACCAAACGATTTTTAAACCGTTATCTTTTGTATATGTCAAGATACATTTCGACTATAGGTAGGTATACGAAATATGTCTCGGTGCTGATTTCACATTCACGGTTCTAAAACAGAATTATCGCATCGACTGACCGAAAATATGGTATGTCGTGTTTCTCATTAAACACCGATTGTCGTACATTAAATCCAAATAAAAATAAAAAAAATAAATATACCAGGTTTCAAAATAATAGTGATTTTAACTATTCGGATTCCGGACAACGAAGATGTTTTGTACAGGTACACACACGTCCTGCACACACTGTGTATTATGTATAGGAATCACTAAGATAAATCGGTAAAAGTCCGCGATCTGGACATTGTCCAAAATCCGTTCTATACAGTTTTAGTTTTCTATGTATATATATATATATATAGGGCGTAACATGATTCTTATTTTGTTCAAAAATCAATTTCCTCTTTTCGCGCAAAAATAATTTCGCTTCTTTCTCTTCCCGACCCGCCAAGTTTTCTCAGTTTTACTTTTCTTTCGGAAAAACTTCACTTTTATAGTATAGACACTCAAAGTATTATTTGCATTTGATAAAACCCATCGCATATAGTCTCAAAAAAAACCGGCACATCCACTTTTTTGCGAAAAAAAAAAAAATCAATTTTATGATTGTGGCGATGTATGTTTCACGTTGCGGTCGAATTGCCCATGAACTACTTATTTTCCAATAAATTACTTATTTGAGAACAATTGTATAATTATATATTCTGCAATGTTACATTATCCTTATTTTTCTCGTTCGAATTTAGAGAAGCTTTAGAAACCATTCGATCAGATGTTGAAAAATGTTTTAAGGGAGTAATGAAAAACGTCACCACAATAGCTTCTGAACTAGACGTTGAAATACGCATGCCTCGAACTTTTGTGAGACAAACTGCCCGAAATAATTTGAATTCCAAAGACGCAGAGGAATATAATAAAATAGCAATATTTATACCATTTCTTGATAATCCAATTACCCGGTTACATTCGAGATTCGATAAAAGACTAGAAACAATTATACCACTAGAAAGACTCATACCGTCTAATTTGACACATTATGACATTATGACGAATCTTAGCTGCTGCTTCTATTTACGAATATTACTTTTTAATAAGTATGAATTTATGCTTGAAAGCAGAGTTATTCATACGGAGAAAGCAATGGCAATTAAAAGAAAATTCACCAGAGACCGTTATAGAAGAAATTCAACACTGCACAGAGCTTTTTCCGAATGTAAAAAAGATTCTTCATTTGTTCGCTACTCTGCTTGTAACATCCGCTACCCCGGAACGTACGTTTTCTGTTCTAAAAACACTGAAAACATATTTACGATCTACAATGAATGAAGAAATGTTGGATGTTTTGGCATTAGCAACAACAAATAAAGACGAATTAGAATATGAAAACATCGAAAAAGAAATATTGAACGGTTTTATTGAAAATGCCACTAGGTGGATGAAAGTTACAGATTGGACACAATAATAATGTTATATTAAAGTCGTAAGAATTAGGTAAGTAACTCGTTAAGAATATTTGCCTTATAATTATTTAAGTTGTTTGCAATAAATTATTATAAATGAAGAGTTGTTGAATGTTTTATATTTTTATTAATTTCAGCAGGATGTATTTAGTATTTTATCTGGTCAAATTAATAATTATGCAAATTAGTGAAAACAATACATATTAAATTTGTATAAGATATTTGTATAGCCTCTCTCCCTCGAGAAATTCTCGCTACGCCACTGATAATATAAAACGAAATAAAAGATAACGAAACAGTTGATAGACATAAAGTGTAGGTATACAAACAAATAAACCCACGATAAAAAGGGAAAGAAGGAAAAGCTAGGTAATCAAAAAATAAAATAAAAATGAGTTGATACTGGGGATGGGTACGGCCACAGTTGTAGGTGAGAAGTTGAGAAAGTAGGATAGGTAGGTAGAATTACATATTAATAAATGTTTATAATATTTTAAATCTCCAAACGGATTTAAAATACAATGATATACCGTACATCAGTATTTATTAGATAACGAGACTAAATACATACTTGTGCAGCTGCCTTTTTTTATATTTTCAAATAATTTTAATTTTTCAATATTTTTTTCCCGCTTTCTTTTTTTAACATAGATTTATTTGCTCGTATACCTACACTCAATGTCTATCCATTGTTCCGGTATTTTTTATATTATTTTGTATTCATTTACTTGTGACCGAAACATGTTGTAAAAAAATATATGTGTAGATTGCTATAATGCTCGTGACTTATTATACACTTTATTTAATTTTACTGTTTAAAAATTTGGTTCATTATTATTGCATACGATTATAATTACTTAAAAACGTGTTACGTTTATCACACTGCAATAGTGATCTGGACAAGAATCCAAATCCAGATTCCAGATGTATGTTATTTACTCGATTATTGCAGTAAGTACTATAAGAAATCTAAAAATGTTCAAGATAAAAAAAAATGTGTATACTTTATGAATAGGTAATCTTCAACAAAACCATACTGGCCTGTACTTAATATTGTGTCTATGCTATAGTTAAGGTGGATATATATACAACTTGGCTATATATATTTACTGACGATATCAATATTTAAAAAGAAAAATACTATCATATCTCAACTTTCTTTAATACACTGCAGTATACCTACCTATAGAAACTGTCGTTCGAGTATATGATAATATTTTTTCCAAAACGAAATCTTAGCTCTTATCTTAATTAAAAAAAAAAAAAAGAGAGAAAAAAAATTATCTAGAAAACTCATTGCTATATGCAGACTTAAACCTCATAATATTACATTTCCTTCGTAGGTCCTTGTATAATATAATATCTTCTATTTTTTCTCTTCTTTTTTTTTTTTTTTTTTTTTTAATCAAACGTGTTTTAAGACGGAAAATGTTATAAAACCGAGTGTCGTAAAATGATATTTTCATCATAAAGACCGTATGATATTCTGTTATAAATTTTCGAAGGACTATATGGATAAGGTTGTGCTATTACTTATTGCCCTTATAAGTACGGTACATTCTTATTGTAATCAAACGTTGACAGCTGTATAAGTACGAATAATGTAAACTCGACCGTGACGATTTACAATTTTTATGCAGGTATATCGTTTTAACATTACGTATCAGAAATGAAAATTGTATGAACTTTAAGTAGATATCTACTTTAATTGTATTTATTTAAAAAAATAGTTGTCTACGATGTGTGAGGTGTACTACAGTATAGGACTGTGAAACATATGCTATTACATGTAGAACCGCAGAGGCAACGGAAATATGGATTCGGATTAAAATGATGCGGTTTAATTGGACAAAAATAAAAAGCATTTTAGAAGTATTTAACCGAGTAGGGGAAAAATGTTTCTGCTCAATAGGTACTATAAGGGAGAGGAGCGAGTTCGGTCACTTATTGAGGCACGATCAGTCGCCGTCGAACACATTTGAAGAACGGATAATCGGTCTTAAATGAAGAGGAAGATCCAAGAAGACATTATGAGATTCAGAAGTTATGAGACAAATTAATTGAATCCGATATGATGACATGAAGAAATTAGATACAAGAGAAAAAAGGAAACACAGATTTGCAGTAACATTGCACAGTCTTTAATGGAAAAAATAGATCCGTGATTATAGAATTACATTTTTTTTTATAACACATCAACCTCCGAATGACGTATCTATTTATAATATTAGTACAGACGGTACTAATAATAATGGTTCAGATTTCTACAGGTTCGCGTAATTTTGCCGATTGATTATCTTAATAGTATTATTATACGATAATATATAATATTTTATATGATGCTGCGATGTCCCGTGAGTTCCGCAGCAGTGCCACACGGGCCGGTGACTCCGGTGTCGTACAATTTTGTTGCTATACCATGTTATAGCATGCTATATAATACTATCGAATACTATTTAATTATAATATGATGCTATATGATGCTAATGAATGTCCTATAAAAGCTCAAAAAAGCTAAAATGTTTTTTTTTAATTTAACAGGTCTAGAAAAAGCAAATATAAGTTTTCATTTCTTTTTACGTTTTTTTTTTTTTTCCAGTTTTACCTAATTATTAATAAAACTACCGAGAAAATCAAAAAAAAAAACAACTCATTTCGTGAGCTACTCGATCCAATGTGCAACATAAAAGTCTCTAGGATTTTCGTAAAACACTTTTAATTATTGCTTAATATTATAATATTAAACCTGTTATTATAAATACATAAATAAATAAATAATTAATTAATTTTCTAAAACCATTTAGAGTCCCTGACATAATTAAGATGAAAACACGTAAAACTGTAACTGAAAAACATAATATATCACTATGTTCGTTATACGGTCGAAAACTGACTAACGGAAAACAGCCAATTCTTTATAAAATATCCATTTATTTAATCTAACATATCTTATCGACCTTTGGTTATAAGCATGACTCATAACTCATGGGACGTAAATTAAGTAGGTACATTGCGTTTTTCGATGGCAATGTCTTAAAGCCGTTTTAACTTTATCAAAATAAACCAAAATACATGCTTAACATAAAATTTGTTCGCAAATCTCAAATAATGATCGGGTGGAGCGTAGGTTGAAAGCCCCCGAGTTAAAATATAGTATAATTTTATCGCATATTATATTATAGCCGAACAATTTATAACAACAATGAGATACGGAGTTAATCAGTGTACATTCTACTATATAGTAATAAACCAACCTTACTGTGTTGTAAACTTTTTTTTTTTTATCACTATTCGTTTTTTTCATTTGCATGGAAATTGATACTAATCACTCACGCAACAGACACCATCATCCGAAAATACCTTGAGCCATAGCTACAATATAATACTATGCCACTAAACTGCGGATCCTGTAAACTGAGTGATTTCGTTGTACACCTGTCTATCGTTAAATCCATTAGGTCGGCCGAGTAATATATAGGAGACATACTTCAATATCATCCATAGCCCGTCTAAAATTGTTAAAAAATAAATAAATAATTATCCTAGTCCACCGAAAAAATTATGTTTATACCGAAATTAAAACGAAACTTTTATGGTTTATTCCGTTTTTATGTGTGATAAATGATATAATAAATAGGTATAATACTCATACAAATAGTGACTTTTTTTTTTTTTGATCATCATTGATAAAGCACCCCTCTCCCCCTAAACTTCAATCAAATGTCCGCGTATATAGTATAGGCATTTTATGTTTGTACGTATTTTTACATAGATTTTATTTGGTAGGTACTATGTGTGTATATAATTGTTAGACAAAACGGAAATGCTTGAAAATTTAACAGGAGATTTATTACGAGTTGTACATAGTGGTTAAAAAAGATAGAGTGGAATATAGAAAATGGGTTTTACAATTGTTTTATCATCAAATTTTGATGAAAAACGTAAATATTACGATCTCTCAAATCATGTATAAATGAACTTTACTCGGTATATTTTTCGTTAGTAAAGATTCATCGCAACTTATAGATATGAATTAAATAACTTTACGAGTTCTATCTTCCAAACGTTCCACCTACAACAGTGGTGAACCCATTAACAGTATCAGCTCTTTTTTTTTTTAGTATAAAGGTATTCATTATATGGATGCAGACAAATATTTCAGAAATGATTTTACACGAGGAAGACGAACAGACCTTCTCTTCCTCCACGTAGTGGCTTCTGGGTAATGCTAATAGGCCAAATCATAACAAGGACATCATTATTACTATTAGAGTCACAATTCACCTATTGTATAAACATTTTGGGAACGCAATTCGGACTTATACCTACGAAATAACGTTTAGGACATCATAATATATACTCTTAGAAAAATTAAATAATCACCAAAAATGGCAGAATATTTGTTTAAATATGCTATATTTGCAGGGTGATTTTTTTTTTATCATGAACCAGCAATTATCTCAGAGTATTTTAAGTGAATTTGATTTCTGTTTTTTCCAATCATAATGGAATCGTTTTAGCTTTATTTTAAAACCATTTTTAATTCTTACCCCTACTCCATGTACCTTAAATAAGTACATACTTTTGATTTTTAAATAGGAACCATCCCTTTTGAATACAGAATCTTTTTCTAGAAATTTTATTATGCGTAACACTAATATCGGATTTACCGTTTATGAGTTATAACAGTTTAGAGTTTAGACCGGAGGAGTAGGGAAGTGTAATAAATTGCCTATCTATAATTCTCCTCAACGACTCCGGACTAAACTTTAAACTGTTGTAACTCATAAACGGTAAATCTGATATTAGTGTAATGCTAACCAAAAGTGCGCGCTTATTTAAGGTGTACGGAGTAGGGGTGAAAAATTAAAAATGGTTTTAAAATAAAGCTTAAACGACTCCATAATGATCAGAAAAAAAAACAGAAATCGAATTCGCTTGAAATCCTCCGAGACAATCGCTGGTTCACAATGAAAACACTCGCCCCGTATAAAGAAAAAAATATTACCTTAAAATCGTGAAACACCGATGCCCGAAACGAAACGCACGCGCTAAAATGTATGCACATTTCTGTTTTCGTAATATTAAGAACCTTTTATTTTTTTTTTGTTATTATTTTAACGCATATTATTATATAGGATCGTTTTATTATTGTACGGCAATACACAACACGCTATACGCCATGGTGTACAGCACGGCGTTCCACAGCAACGCGTGGCGTTATTTTATTATCATACGGCGTTGTTTAGCGTCGTTTAGTAACACGGGACATTGTGCAGCTTTACGTGCCGCCGTCTAGCGCGGCGTAGACGAATTCGGCGATCTATCGCGACGCGCAGAACACTCGCGTCGTTACGTAACATTCCAAAGCTAATGTTTCGACACTATACGAGGTGTGGCTATTAAACAACGAGACTGCTCGCCTAAAAGACGCCCTAGATAGGTAGTTGAAAAAACGAGTAACGCGTTGGGTATCCAGATATCTTATCTATGCACGTACCAAAAAACGTTTTCGTCGCTATTATAGTATTTGTGCAGTAGTGGTTTGAAACGAACATGGTTTTTTCTCGTGCCGAAAACCACGTGTGACGAAAAACATATGAGCAACGGATAAACGTAAAATTTTTTCGTTCAATTAAAAAAAAACTCCAACTGAGTGCTATGAGTTGTTAAAAGAGGCCTATAGTGAGGGTTTCCTGTCTCGGGCGCGTGTTTTTGAGTGACATAAATTATTTTCTGATGGTCGAGAGTGCACCGGAATCCAATTCAGTCGTAATCCAAATTCAAAACCATGCTGATCGTTTTCTTCGATATCAACGGCATCGTGATGACTGAATGGGTTCCAGAGGGTCAAACTGTGAACCAACATTACTATTCGACAGTTTTGGCAACATTGCGCGAATCAGTTCGTAAGAAACGGTCGATATTGTGGAAAAACAAGTCGTGGATCTTGCACCAGGATAACGCACCTGCCCATAACGCGCTGTCTGTGAAGCGTTATTTGGCCGCTTAAGGCACTACAGTACTCGAACACGCGTCTTACTCACCCAAACTGGCACCCTGCGACTTTTACTTGTTTCCGAAGATATAGTCTGCCTTAAAAGGAATCCGGTTTGAGTCGATGGAAGAGGTGAAACGAAAATCGGGCGGAACTCCTGAATGGTCTTACGAAAACAGACTTCCGGCACTGCCTCGAGCAACGGAAGAAACGAACGCAACGGTGCGTGGCGAGGGGAGGGCAGTATATTTAAGGGGAACGTTTGAATGTAGAATAACTTTTATAATAAAATCACTTTTTCGTAACCAGTCTCGTTGTTTAATAGCCGCACCTCGTACAGCATTGTTGTCGCCGCGTAGCACCGTGCGCCGGCCCGTGTGTACCATTCGGTGTCGACATCAGACGCCCATGTCGTGTCACCTTATAGCGTCGCGCAGCGCCAACGCGACTGCCGCCGTACAGCCGACACGCATGACGCGATCGCGTGCCGTCATAAAAAAGCATTGCGAAAAGCATTATGAAANCTTTGCGTAGCGCTGTGCATTGTTATTTGACATTGGCGTTGCGCAGCAATGATATAGCGCCAATATAACTGTCAACGATTAGCGGCGTACAGCATTATTATTATTATTATTATTTATTTAAACTCCACAGGGATGCATAGTACAGTTTACAAAAAGACATTACGGTAGAACGTACTGGTTTTCAGACTGCGGTGAAACGCGTACGGCTAGTAAATCGTATTAGATCGAGAGCATTGAGAATTTCGAAACTTTTGAAAAAAAAAAAAATAGATGCTGAAAACGGTCGATATAATTTATTTAACCGATGTTCGTTGGCTCAGTAGAGTGAAAGTCTTACGAATAGGTTTTCGATTTCGATTTGCCACAAGTAGAGCAAACGTTTTTTTAACAATTTAATAACTCTGAATTTACAAATGATTTTGTGCGTCTCGTAGACATTACGTTGCACTTCAATAACTTGAATGTATGCTTGCAACGTCAAAACTGATTAATTCTCAATTAATTCAACCATATTACATTTNCGTTTGTCATTGCTGTATAGACACACCCTTGTTTCATCAGAAAAGAGCACAGTCTTCCATTGGTCAAGCGTCCAATTAAAATGTTCACGGGCAAAATGTAACTGTTCTTTGCGGTGCTGTGCAGTCAGTTTCGGACCGGTAGCAGGTCTGCGGGCCACAATTTTTTGTTCTCCTAACCTTCTCCTAACCGTAGAGGTGCTTACTGTTGTACTGCGAGCTGCGCGGAGTTGCTGTTGAAGCTCTACAGCATTGGAAAATCGATTGCGCAAAGACGTCGAGACAATAAAACGATCATCTCTGTCCGTTGTGCAGCGTTGTCGGCCTGATCCATGCCTCCGGATAAAGCCACCAGTCTCTTGATAACGTTGGAAAACTCGTCGAACGGCAAAACGGCTCAAGTTTAGTTGCCGTGCAACATCACATTGACGCATCCCTGATTCCATTAATGCTACCACTTGAGCGGCTTCGTTAGCAGTTGTATCCATTTAATACGTTATTTTTTGAAATAATATTGTTTAAAGAGTATTCACGTACGTCCTTTTCAATGTTTAGGAAGTGAATGACCTGCATTTGACACTTTAAACTGATTTTTCTATAGCCAAAGAATATAAGATAAGATAGGAGTATATTTATACATTTTCCTAATGCACCGTATACTCCGAATATGATTATTGTTTATGAAATGAAACTACTATCGGATAAGAGGTCATTAACTGTACTTTCAATTTATATCTTTATTGTTTGGATTAAATGTTTTGGTTCGGGGAAATGCCCGTTTGAAACTTAATTTTAAAGATGTGCGATTTTTGTGACGCCAAGTGTAGATGCTGAAAACGGTCGATATAATTTATTTAACCGATGTTCGTTGGCTCAGTAGAGAGAAAGTCTTACGAATAGGTTTTCGATTTCGATTTGCCACAGGTAGAGCAAACGTTTTTTTAACAATTTAATAACTCTGAATTTACAAATGATTTTGTGCGTCTCGTAGACATTACGTTGCACTTCAATAACTTGAATGTATGCTTGCAACGTCAAAACTGATTAATTCTCAATTAATTCAACCATATTACATTTTTTTTTTTTAAATAAATTTCTATTGTGGGAAATCTAATTTAAAAAAAAAAAAAAAACAACAAAACTGTCAACACACTTCCTAGTTGTCACTTGTTTGTCAAAATACAATATTACTTCAACAGAGAAATACGCAGAAGCAATATCTAATTAAAACTCGAGCTTCTTAGATTTTAAAGCTACCTAATGAATAACCGTTTAATTTGTTTGCCATTCTATTTTCAATATCAGTTGAAGATTTCTCAGAAAATATTCAAATGGAAATTATTATTAGCAATATTACAAGCTTTTCTTTTAAAATTGTAATATAATACCATCGAACCGTCAATTTTTTTATTCAGAGTAAATGAACATGTAGACATATTCTAAATCAATAAAAAAACACTTTAATGATTATTTACTATTTTAGTAGTACCTACAAATAGTGAACATTATTTATATATTTGTTCACGAATGGAAATAATCAAATCAAAAACTTAAACTCGGTTAATTGACACCCGCCTAGAAAACTTACTGAAGATTGCACCATATAAAATTCAATCAAATAACGACAAATTATTTAAGGAAAAATAATGTCAAATATTCCACTAAAAAAAAAAAATAATAATAATAATTTGTAATTTCAAATATAAAATTATAGATTTTAATAATTAATAAATAAACAATTCATAATTTAAAATTTAAATTTATGTATGTTAAAATAAAAAAAAAAATTTTAATTTCCGTTTAAATTACATGTTTTTATTTTGATTGCGGCGCCGCGAGATTTAAAAAAATAATATGTCGTTCGATGCATAAAAAATTTGAAAATTTCTAATTTAAGTAATAAACTGACATATTTATACATAGAAATTACTTTATATTTTAAATTAAGTGTATTTGATATTCATTGTATACCAATATTACTTAGTAGGTAGGTTAGGTTAGGCATTGCTATGGAAAAAAATTCTCAAAACTCAAGAAAATTTGCAGACCCAGAATCATCTCGTCTCGTTGACATACAATGGGCGAACACGATAAATGCGAAATCGGTTGGATAATATGAGATCAACAGTTACAACCTATCCTTTTTGATATAACATGACTTTTTGACGTTAAAGCGAGTAGCCTGTCGTTGAAGTAGCCCTGGAAATGGTTTTTTGTACCAAGTTGACCAAGACGTCCGAAGACATTTAGCCGCTGAGCAGATGACGTTTCGTTAAAATGTCACTCCTTTCGACGACCCGCACCCAAAATTACCTGAATTAGATCTTCCCCGTTTATTATGGACAACGCTATGCAGGATAAGGACTAAACGAGGCAAATGCAACTGTCTGCTGTTCAATTTGGGTCTTTCAGAGACGCCGTACTGCGCCTATGGGACTGAATCAATAGCCAAACACATAATAGAAGAATGCCCTCAAACCAAAATTGATGGTGGACTAGGAAACATTCACAAATGTTGCCATGAAGCTATAATATGGACGGAAGAGTTGTCCGTAGTGGATAGAACTGTTAACAGAAAATATCTACCCTATCATATTGTAATTGTTTTATAATTTGTATTTATTGTTTAATTATTATTATTTGTGTTATTACCGACTACCCCGGTATATACGTGTGGTTCGGCAGCGTTACCGAAATATTATTTGTGTATGAAATTCGCGGTAGATTGGTTATTGATCTTGCGAAGGGACTATATATTCTCGGGCTTAACGGCCACTGAAAACCACCTGTACGGTCACACTGTATGTATATCAAAGTGAGACGTCAAAATTGGGGGATATATTATATTTTGAAGTGCACATCACGATGGTGGACAATATAATACCGATCTAAACTAACTTGTACCAACGTCCGCCGGGACATTATAATAGTAGTAGCACGCAATATTCTCTTATTGTCAATATTATAATAATAGCATTGGAAATGGGCGGGATACAGAGATAGGTGATTGGCCTATAACCCGAAACCCGAGTAAGTGGATAGGGTGATACGTGACGAGACTCAGGCCGTGAAGGCCCTGCGGGACGATAAAAAATGATCGTATGGACTATATATGATTAGGTACGCGTATTATGGTAACCTGACCTAACCGCAGTACCGCACACAAAAATATTATACGAAATATTTAAGATCGAACCGACTCCTGAGAAATTTTCCGTTAGGATCATATTATAATACATTATGATTGATATTACCTGCATGCATACAATATCCAATCAGTATACGATAAAAGCACACGGACAAAAATATTATTTTAAATCGTAATAAAAACACACAATCTATAAATAACTGAGGGGAGCTAGAAAAATCAATAACTTTTTCGTTCCGATAATTTTCTAATACTAAGTGTAAAAAAAATGATAAAATTATTATGATACAGCTTAGAGTGTTCTCCCCGTCGGGCGGGACAAGTTGTAGATTGTAGTACACTTTTCTAAATAAATTCTTCCCAATCAATTTTTCACAGTCAATTCTTCCGAATAAAATATTTTCTAATGTCAATACTCCCAATCTATAATTTATCCGATTATGATATTTATCAATTTGTTCTGGAATAGCCCAGCGGTATGTTATTATTTTTATGCCTATAATAGTCTATAGGTGCATACCTATTCTATCGACTAACCTGGTTTAGTTTCGTTTTATGGTAATTCGTAATATGGTACGACTGAAAGTAGAAAAACGAATAAGAAATATTGTGTCTAAATACAACGAATTTGTGGATAGCAATGTTATAATTGAGTACCTCATTAAAGTCATTGGGCATTATTTCTAATTTAAATTTGTATATTTTTAATAGCGACTGTACGAGCGGAGTGGAATATAAATTAATATAAATTCATTATACGAAGAAGGGCACATATTCAAATTTTAAAATTTTCCTAGAAAGACAAAAAAACTTCTTAGTTTCATCTTTAAAGTCATTTTTACACGAATCAAACTATTAACTTGGAGAGTATTGTCTCCCATCAAAAAAATATGCATTTTGAATTGAAATCCAGGCTCTAGTTATAAAAATAAAATTTGTTGTTTCAATTTTTTTTAGTCGTTATTTTTTTATTTTTTTAGAAAAATTGTAAAATTCCTACATTTAGAGATTTAATTATTGACCGACTTATAAAATATAAATTAAATCACACATTATGTTTGATCCGAAAACCCGATATTGTTTCGGTGCGCTGTCGGAGACGTTTACGTCGTCGACGCGACGACACGCCGCCAGTGATTCGTAATGACGTTTTCACGGGCTACAAGTTACGACTACGCTAAGCATAATACGAAACTTCAAACTTATAATCGGATTTAGACTTCGCATTACCTGCGGCGGGGTACCGAGGGGCGTATATGCTGCGGTCACGTTTTGACGCCAAACTAATTTTAACAAAAACTATATAATAAAAAAAAAAAATGAAATAATTTTATATGTTACATTAACCACACACTGTTGTATGGTGGCGATATGATGTTCTGCAGGTTAGAAAAAAAGCTGATACTGCTGACGGGTGTACCGCTGTTACAGGAGGGATGTTGGAAAGGAAGATAAACAGAGTGATTTAATTTAAATCTGTACGCAACGATAGACAATTGCTGACGAAAAATGATTTTGAGCAGAGTGTTATTGGTCGTATTTATGTTTCTTGTTACCAAGATGACCCAAAAATCAACAAACATTATTTTTCAAATGTAGAATAATTTTAGCAGTAATTTAATGTTTAAATTTCGAATTAGAAAATTATTAGTGTTATTAAAAAAATTTAATCTACACCAAAATTATTTCTCAGATATATTTACATGTAAATAATATAATACATTTATTCCCGTTGAAAGTTTTGCTAAATGAATGACTTCTTTCTTGTGTAAATACAATTAAACCGCTATCGCTACTTTGGTATTATTCTAATGATTATGTTTGTACAGATTATGCATTTGTGTTTATTTTAATTATTTTAAAAAAATTCCGTGTTTCTTACTTCTAACGATTTTGGGCGGTGTCCAATTCGTCCAATTTCAAGTAGGTCCGAAACCCACGATGGCTTTGAATGTGAGTAAGAAATTTATAAAGCGGTAAAATCGTTTTATATAATACACAATATAGTATTATTTATATTATTTCACAAAACGCATTAAGGGTATTGGTTGGATGATGTATATTTTAGAAGATTTAGGCTTAAAAACTAAACAAAGCTGTAGAAATTGTATTGGACGGATTTCTGCAGTTTTGAAAACGGATTATGATTCTTTAGATTCTTTCCTAGATTATTTTGGAAAAGGAAAATTGATTTTTTTTAATGGACATCGTAAACAAATTTGTTTAAATTTTCGAAGAGAGAAAGAGAAAGAGGATTCAAATTTAAAAAAAAAAAATAATTCGTATCCTAATTAGGAACTCATGGTTCTACAATAGAACCATACGAACTTGATAAGTGTCTTACCAAATCATAAAACGTTTTCAAAACTAAAATCCGTCAAACGCAATTCTTACAGTTTTGTCTGTACGACCGAAAAATCCAAAAAATCGATTCGACTCTACTCCTTCTATTAAATGTGTAGCGTGCAGTGGATTAGAAGAAAAATCGAGGAATGGCCGAGGGGTCATTGAAATATAAAAAAAAAAAAATGTACATCCAAATTTTACAAAATTATTGAAAATCACCTTAGTCACATATTATTATGAAATTTTATTCTTAAACTTAAAAACATTTAAAAAACGGAAAAACGATAGAGGGATTCTAAAGACCCCCTCTAATGACTCGAAATTATTACTATTTACTAATCATTTTTGCGTTTTTATATATTTGCTAAGTGGTTTTTTTTTAAAGACTTTTGGACGTTTTCAATAATTTTGTTTTATGGATTTTAAGAACATATATAAATCCGGCCTCTAATTGTTATTATTATTATTGTAAGTATTAAATCCTCGGCGACGTGATTTGTATAGGTCCGGTATTTATTGGTTAGTTCGGGACAGGAAACGCACCGTATATTCCTATACATTACAATAAACGTTGTTCTATACGTTACGTCGGTTAGCCTGGCGCGCTCGTCGTACACGGAAGCACGCGAAACAAACGGCAATGCCTTTTACTATATAATATTGTTGTGTATATTCGTATGCGAGCAGATTTACACGCACACTCAAACATACGTATAAATATACATGTATGTATCGTATACGGTAGTGATAATGCCCGTCTATAGTTGCAATTATCCGCGTGTCCGGACGAATTTTATTTACTCTTTCTAATTGGAACGGACCGACACGACGGCCCTTTGTCCCGACAAATTGAATTGCTCCGGCGCCTCCTGTATTTATATACGTGTGCGTGTGTGTGTGTGTGTGTGTGTGTGCGTGTGTGCGTGTGTGCGTGTGTGCGTGCGCGTGTGTGTGTTGCGCACGGTGTAATATATTTCGCGCGCGAATTCTCTCCGAGCGGACGGTAAATTCAAAAATGTGTTTACCGCGCGGCAACGATGATCGACCGTGATGATAATATTACACGCGTGTGGCTCGTTCGTAAAATACATTATATACGTACGCGTAATTCCGCGTGTATACAATATGCAATGATAAGTGTGTGCGTACACAATACGGTACACGTGTTCGTTACGCGCATAGTCCGTCCGCGTGAACCCACGGAACGTGCACACGGTTCATTTGGTCCGGTAAATAATGTCCGGCGACGCATGATCCGACTCGCGATGACGAATTCGGTCCGGTACAGTGGCGCAATCGTGGGCGAGTGGAGCGAGGAGAACCGGGTGTCCGACCCATTCGTATTTCGAAACGAAAATCAAACGTTTTGAAGGAGATTCAACGGTTTCTTTCCGTTACGTCGATATCGACGGCAATACGTACAGGACGATTCACCTGAACGTGCTAACGCCATTTTGTTTTGTTTTTTGTTTTTTTTTGCTAAATTTCGGGTACATTCAAATTCCGATTTTTGGAATTTTTTAAGTGTGCCTACTTAGTTAAAGCTGATACGTTCGAATACTTGGGTTTTTCGCAACATTTAAGGAGTATCCTGTGGTGATACCAACTTTGGTTTTTGAAATGAGAACCTATGTTAAATTCCAAAAATCAGAGTTTGAATACACGCAAAATTTAACCAAACAAATGGGGTGAACACGTTTAGTGAATCAACCTGTACATATACAATAGTAAAAACCGACTGCCGTCTGAATATCGGATTACCGTACGTTTGTTTACGTCAAACATCGCATGATATTAACGAATCGAAATTCGTATGGTAAATCACGGCACGCTCGATGTTTTAATATCCTAATAAAAAAATTATCCGTACTATTGATCATTCCCGGAGAGTTGCTCTGCAGAGTTCCGGCGTCTTTGGAAAGGAAGACGAATCGATTTTCTATACTTTAGATGCGAGAGAAAATCGTCCAGTGTCACGTGTTGTCAAGAACGGCCATTTGGAGGGAGTGCAAGAGGGAGACATATCGCCCCTGGAAAATACTAAAACCCGCAAAACATTGCTATTATTGAGGCTTGACGCATGACGCACAACCTGGATGATTATCGATTCGCCATCTCGCAATGGAACTACCATAACTTTCTATAACATAACCAAACTTTTGGCACAGGTCTTAGGAACCCGTTCCCGCTTTGTCGTTCTCTTGACAATTACGTTATGGGCACCCATGCGTGTTGTGTTTATTTTTCGCTGGTTTCCGAAGACGTTATATTATTTTGTTTAAAATCATCAACAGGTTCGCTTGTTTTCGGGGCGTATACGCACGGCGGAAGTAACTCGTCACTTCAATAGATACGAGTACAATACTACAATAATACGGCCGTTATACGAATACTACAAGGCGCGGGGACTTATAACCTAAATGGGTATCTACCTAAATAATAATATTACAAACAAATACCTACCCGTTATCCATTGTACTCTGCCCCGTTGTAGTGTATAATTTGTATGGTCGCTATAAGTAGTCGCTGGTAGATATTCGCACCGCGTATTCAGAGATTGTTGCCGCAATATAACACGCGAATTTCGGAGTGCAAAATGACGACGCTGGTTACAATATAAAGGTGCCTATTCCCTTTCAACCCGCTGTTACTGAAACAACATACCGTCTGAAAGCTGATAAATATTATTACAGTCTATAGGTAAAACATCGAGAGGTAGAAACAATAATAATATCGATCGATCGAAAAAAAAGTACGATTCTTGTGGTCAAAATTAAAAACTCAAATGCAAACACCCATATGGATATTATAATTTCAAACAAAAATAACGCTAAAATTAAAATAAGGTTTTTTTTCTCGAAAAAGGACATTTTAATATTTATAATTTTATATTACATTATTTTATATTATATTAATTTATAATTATTTGATGACACTTGAATATCCAAAATTACAAAATGAACAATATTACAATGCTGTGTCCGTTTTTACTGTTCGTGTTTTCCGGTTTTCATTATAATTGTGAAAACTGCTTGGAAAATCAAAAAAATGATCTTCTGAATGTACCGATATTATTTCTTTTTATCGGAATAAAATTTATCGAACTATCTACATTACTGCATTATCTAAATTTTTTTCACCAAATTCATCCAATAGAAACCCGTTGAAAATAATAAATACTACTTTTATTTTAAAAAAAAAAATAAAAAATGTACAAGCACTGAGATATTTTAAATATTTTGTATCTTATATTGCAGTATGCAAACATAATAATATGTTATTTATAAAACGTTTATGAAAAAAAAAAATATCAAAGGTTTAAACTTTATAAGATATGTAGGCATAATATTTTATTATATTACAAAATTATCTATCTAGGTAATATAATTTACAAAAATGACGACAAAATGTATGAAATACTTTAAATTTAATAACATTTCAAAACGACTAATTTAAAATAAAATATTGTGTGCGATCATGGAAAATTGCATATTATATTGAGTTTAACTGGTTATGAAGAGCTCTTGCTGTGGTTTTTTTTTTGTTTACAAATAAGTATAGCCGCGTTTTTTTGATCAAATATAGTTTACGGGCTATATCTCTTGCTTTGTAGAGACGTTTGATTTTGGTTTTGTTTTTTTTTTTTTTTTGGAAAGGAGACAACTTCCTACAGAGCGCATTGAACTTTTACTTTTTTTTTTGTGAACATTTCTACCAGAAATTCAACACTTTTTCTGAAAGGAAATCAGACTGGGGTGGTACTTTATGAAGGTAATTTTTTGATTTTTCCAGGGGTTTACATAATAAATGGAAAAATCCAGGAACAATCGTAAGAAAAACGGGAAAATTTACAAAATGTATTATTTCCAAATCGTAAATATTACGGCTTTTCAAAACACGTATAAGTAACAATCATTTTTCGAAGTTAAATATTAATCGTTGCGTACAGATTTACATTAAATTCCCCTATATCCAACCTCCACATCTTCTCACCTACAACAGTGGCCCACCCATCCTACGAAGTATGCCCGTATCTTTTTTGATTATATAACAAAAAAACACCCAGATAAAAATTTCTTTCAAAAAAAATCGTTGCACTTATTGAATATCGGAATAAAATTTCTGGTACAAAAATTGTTCACAGAAAAAATAAATAAACATCATTGTAAAACCAATTCATTCTTCGCTACACTCAGAATCTAAAATTAAAATTAATTTATGGTTCATAATAAAATAATATTCTTTATTTTAAATTTTTAAATACAATTATAATGTAAATATTACTCTTAATATGTATATTGACTACTCATTTCATGTAATAACTAAAATATTTGGTTGGTATGATAAATTCTATACGTTTTTTTAACATTTTTTCATACACTGGTGATTGTGCCTAATAATCATGTCACATAGACGAAAGTGACCAATTTGTCATAATTATCTAGAATTTATCATTTTAAGAAACTAGTATGCATAATTGTGATTGCTTTTTAATTAGTATGATAAATCTATTATACTTTATATTTATTATATTATCTCCGATTTTTGCGGAATTCTTTACATGTTTGTATCATTGACGACGACAGTGGTATTTTTGCCTCACACAAACATACGTAGGTTTATTCAGAAAACGTCTGAAAGAAAGTTTCCAAAGGTCCGGGTACGAAACACTCTAGTTCCGGAATGAGAGAGGAAAAAGTAATTTTAAAAATATTCTTGTAATTATTTCTAAAACAGATGAGGAAAAATGTATGTATGTGATTGGTACAAAAGAGGGAAATTCGGCACAAACCTATTCCAGAAACCAGTTTAAAATTTGTAAAGAAAAGTTCATGTCTAAAGAAGGTGTTCCTGATGTAACTGATGTGCCAGGAAATTGTCGGTTACTGGAGGCCAGGGGCTTAAGAGATGTAACTGCAAAGGAAAATGCTATTCAAGAGAATTCAGATAAAAAAAAACTGATACATTATACGCAATTGGAAACACAACGAACCACCGTAAATAAATAAATCATTATTACCCTAACGTCGTTCCATATAATTTGTTTTGTATCATAAATAATTTGCAGGTTGTTATCTGTAACAATCGATTATACCAGTCGATGTGGTTCGGTTAATGTCCACTTATAATCAATAACTGATCGAAGCGTTCGATTGTATGCAATTTACCGTATTATTTGTTTTGATTCGACACTACGCGAAAAGGCCGATTCATTTAATAACATAAATATAAGGTATTTTTATTAATCAAACACGGTTATTTCTTACACAAAATAACTGGTCATCAAACATACCATCCGATTTGTCACATCGACATACGAATACAGTTATGCTTTTGATTTCCGATGAAAATTAGAACTGTCGTCATACGCCAGCAATTTTCGCACGTAGACCCTGTTGTTTATTATTACAATGTAACAATCGCGCCGATTTCATTCCTACGTAAAATATTGCTTAAATACGGATTACAATTATTCCTTTGTCGTTAAAAAATAAAAATAAAATCGAATTATCAGCTACCTGCAGTTGTTCAACTGAATCGTTTTTTATTTTGCTTTTTTTTTTTTTTTCAACTTTCGTTACAGTGCGATTAAATTGTATTTGTACACGAAAAAAAAAAAAAAAAACAAAAAAAACAAAAAGTGTAATTGAAAAACGTGTTTTTGTTTACCGCACCGCACCGCACCACATACACACACACACACACACACACGCAAACGCATCACAGTAGGACGCCCCCCATTATCTTAATTTGAAAAGTATTGCGATTAACGTCACCGCCGTCGTTGTAGCAGCACTGCGAACAATTACATTTAAGAACGCGGAAAACGACGACGACGACGCTGGAAATTGTAATTTTCAGCAAATTAAAAACCGAAAGCGCCCGACCGAATCGCGCAAAGCACAGTACGGCCCGGAGGACGACGAAGAGATTACGCGGCCATAAAATATATTAGAATCTCCTCGAAATTTAGACGACGACGGGACCGCGTAACAGCAACTTACTAGGTATATACACTCGCCGGTCTTAAAATTATTTACCGTCGTCTGACTGACGGCAAGAAGAAGAACTGTTGTAAATACATGCACACATAATAAACGTTTTAACAGCGAACGCGCGTCCGTTCGAGACGAACGAGCGGAGTAGTTTGTTATTCTGTTGGCCCGAGAATAAATCGCGTGCTGTACAGCGCGTTCGCGTTTCCATCAGGTAACGCCGAAACGTTTCCACCGGACGAGTTCGGATGTGAAATCCCGTTTTCGGCAGGCGGTACGGAATACTGTTTTTTTTTTTTTTTTTTTTTTTTTTTTTTTACGGAATACGGTTTAGCGTACCGTTTCAAATTCGTAACGCTTTTTGCGCGCTCGTCCACAATACAAACGACTTTTTTTTCTTTTCATTTTTTTTTTTTTTTAATAGTAACGGCTGATATTGTTACCCTGTTCAAATAGTTCAATACCTTCTGTCAGTATTGCAGTGCCTCTTCATTTCCCGAAAACGGAATTCAAATCCTAAGGTCACCCGACTGAAATGTTTAGCGATAACTACAAACACACTGTATACATATAATACGCATACTAATATACCATACGTTTCAACGACAAATACGCGTCCGTTCGAAACGAAAAAGCTAAGTATTTTGTGGGTCTGGTAATAAATCGCATCTATACATATTATATACCTACGTCACCGGTGGTTAGACGGAAAAAGGCGGTGGATTAACGTTTAACTCCCGCACTGTCCCGAAATGTCTGTAGAAAAACCAATAAGAAAAAGCTTAGTGGTACATTTTTTAAGGATTTTTTCCCGAAAGGACGCATAATTTCATTCGTAACAATTACAAATAAATTAAAACATTGGTAGTGATTATCATGAATTTCATCATAGCTTTGTACACGAAACGCATACATTAATAACGTATTAATTATTAATAATTAATTAATCAGTGGCTATTTTTTCAGACTTTCCGCAGTACACATACAGTATGTATTTGAATTCAGTATTGATATTATGTACCACATACAGGGCGTTGACAGAAATCAAAAATCTCAATACAGAAATGTATGGAATTTTGAATGTAGGTTGATATTAAAAAATGAAAAATCAGTGGCTTCGTCCTCGAAAACATGAATACAAAAAAAAAAAAAATCGATTATGTAACATTTTAGACCTTGTTTTATAAGTCGTTCAGAAAAAAAATTCCGCAAAACTAAATACTTTCCGAGATGACGGGAATCTTATCGAGGTTTCATTACACTGTAAATGTATAAATAGAAAAATGGTCATCCTTACATGTGCAGAAACTGCAGGCGATGGCAGGCGCGCGTGTTTTGATTTTCCGTAATGCGAATTCGGGATTTCGTGGAGCGCAAAGTGTGTCGTAGTGCACACAGAAGTGGCCACCACCAATGAGTGTGTTACGTGCGGTTTCCGGACCGAAACCGCCCTCGAAGTTTACGATTCGGTACGAGTCTTCTGGCCGAAAACCCGTTAGCTTCGCTCGGAATCTAAAACGCGTGTAACGTTATCATTTCGCACCCCCTACCCCCCCCCCCCCCCCCCCCCCCACCGCACCCCATTACCATCGCCACCTGTAACTTAGAGCTCCGTTTAGATAGCGTACGTTACCAGCGTATAAATTTTAAAACGCGTGTCGTTCGGCGCGACGGACGATCCCGCGGTGCGCTAAAAAATAATACGCCGCGGCCGAAAATTCGCGTTTTTTCGTCGCCTCCGCGACCGCGACACACAGATAGCGGGAGCGCGACATTGTTCGGTTATCATCGCCGTGCGATATTACCGTTACCGTTATTATTATCGTATTACGCGACGTGCCGCGTTGCGGATAACAATATAATCCGACAGATTTGCAGATTTCCGATCGGGCGTGTAACGACCGGACATAATATATTGTACACGATGTTTATCGAGCGAAAAAAAAAAACCGCCGCCGGACGGACACGCGTTCGGGCCGGCAGCCGTTTAGCAATGCTGTACAAGTGCGTAATCACATTATAATAATATTGTATATATATATGTGTGTGTGTGTGTGTGTGTGATATAATTTTTCCGACCAATTACCGCCGCTACCGTAACAATCGTGGCGGATTGACCGCGGCTAATGCGTATCTGATCCTGTAATAATGACTTTTGGTCGCGGAATCGGACCACTCTGCCCCCGTCTGTCGAGGGTCTGTTGCCGCGGTTACGTCGGTCGGTGCATGATGTACATACAGGGCGATCGGAAAACAATATCGCGTCGTCCGCGCGACTCCCGGACGGTCGAAGCCGGACGGCAATCGGGGTTTTAAAAAGTTAAACGTTAATATACTAAATAGTGTTGTTAAGATACGTTTTTTTTTTTTTCTATTACCCACTAGTTAAACTAATAATCATTAAACGAGTAAATAGAACGTTCGGAAATAATACTCGATTGAAAACTCGCACTCGCGCATAACTTTTTCTGAAAATGTGTTTGCGAATCGTTCGTGTAAACATCACGCGGTTTTCGCGTTAATTTTAAAATTACGTATTTTTACTTGAATATCATATGATCGCGTAACAATACGGCCGGAACGCGGCGTACGGGACACCTACGGGTCGTGCACCGCAGTAAGTCTATTCGAATACAAAACACGTTTTTTAGGATAATTGACTTAAATTAGTTTGTAAAAAATTCGTTAATTTGCCCAGCTTTGTATATGTGTACAATACGTAAAACGAAATTGCATCTATTCCTACCGTTTCCAACGTCATTGGCGTGCTCACTGGGAAGACGGTCCCTTATCGATACCTCCGCTCCCCCTCCATTGGCTTCAAAATACAAGGACTAAGAGTATTTAATCTTGAAATGTGTACATATTTCAGCCGTGGTACAAAGAAAAGCTTAATTTATTGATTAACAATTTACCATTTCGGATCCGGATTTTAAATTTTCGTAAATAGAGAAAAAAATTCTACGACTTACTCGTTGTTATAATTTACGTTTATTTGCTACAGCCCTTCCCGCTGAAAAGTACACCACTGTCTATAACACCCTGGATACGTATCAGTGTAGGTATTAGATACCTACATAATGATGTAGTTGTCAAAACGACCTAATAAAAATAAATCGATAAATAAAAACGTTATTTTTATTTAGAAAAAACTCAATGAAAATAACAGTTCCTTCGAATAGACACGATATTTCGAAAATCATTTCGTCTTAAATATTTAGTTATTTCGATTTCCATTGGAAAGAAGGTACTATACTCTAATTAGAGAACGCGTGATTATGGTTACGTTTGATTTTTGATCGGAGCCAAATGAAATATTTTTTCCCCGCTCATCTTTTATATTATATCGCTACTGCATCTATACAAAAACACATGTTCGACGTCGTTTTTTACGTCTTGCAGGAAACGGCTAATATTTATAAACCCATCGGGTAGTCTCTCAATATAATTTTGCCCGGTCTTATTTCAAAATCGATCTTTTTTCCTCCTCGTTTATAACCGGCTGAGTATATATTTCCCCTCCTCTCCTAATCTTCTTTCATTTTTACTTTTACTCGAACACACAGAATGCGTTCGGATGTTCCCGTTCGTGCGAATTTTTAATACTTACTTATTGAAATATTCTGACCTATATCAATAATTGTACAGAATAAATCACCGGGATATGACTTTTGAAAATATATTTTACGATTTTTTTTCTCTTAATTGTCCTCTTCACCATAATCCCATAACATCGATGTGTGGTCAACTACTCTTATTCACGCCCTTCACAACTCCTTATCCGTCAACATCGTCCGCTTCCTCATATTTTCTTACCCTAATAAACTTCAGCCATTTTTCCTTTGCCTTGTTTCTTCCCGGTGGTCTTTTCATCTAATACTCACGTGTCTTCTCGACGAATTGTCGTGTATTTTACAACATCGTTGAATAATAGAAATAATAAACTAGTTTTTAATGCATCTGTTTAATAATGTAAACGATGATAAACATACATTTTTTTTTTTTTTTTTTTG